AACATTGAAGCTCAAGGCATGTTTAAGGATGAAACACCACTGACCAAGCAAGTGGAAACAAACATAAACCAATGGGACTACATTAAACTAAGAAGCTTCTGCACCTCAAAAGAAACAGTGACCAAAATATAGAGAGCCCATGGAATGGGAAAGATTGTTGACCCAATACCTATCAGATAAGGGGCTAATATCCAGGATATACAAGGCATTAGTAGAATTGTACAAGAAAAGAAACTTCCAACACATGAAAAAATGGGGAGAAGAAATGAACAGAAACATCCTCAAAAAAGAAATACAAATGGCCAAAAGACAGATGAAAAAATACTCGACATCACCAATCATCAGAGAGATGCAAATCAAAACAATGAGATATCACCTCACACAACTCAAACTGGCACACTTCAAAAAAGAACAAGAACAACCAATGCTGGCATGGATGTGGGGAGAAAGAGACTCTCTTTCATTGTTGGTGGGAATGCTGACTGGTCCAGTCTCTTTGGAAAACAATAAGGGCATTCCTTCAAAAACTAGAAATTGCTTCCATATGACCCCATAATACCCCTTCTGGAAATATATCCCGAGGGTGCATAAAGAGAGTGCACAGCAAAAATGACATCTGCACCTGTATACTCATTGCATCACTTTTCACAATAGTCAGAATCTGGAAACAACCCAAGTGCCCGAGAACAGACGACTGGTTAAAGAAAGTTTGGTACATCTACATAATGGAATACTATGCGGCTGTTAGGAAAGATGAAGTCATGAAATTTGTTTATAAATGGATGGTCATGGAAAGTATCATGGTAAGAGAAATGAGTCAGAAAGAGAGGGACAGACACAGAATGACTGCATGCATTTGTGGAATATAAAATAACATAACATGAGATTGACACCCAAGGACAGTAGACACAAGGGCCAGGAATATTGCCCCATAGTTGGAATCCTGTCTCATGAGCTGGGGAGAAGGAAGCTGGAATAGAGAAGGGTTCACTAAGTCAGTGATGGTTGGAGGGATCGTTCAAGATAGGAGATGTGTGCTGAAAGTAGATAAAGGACCAAACATGATAACCTCTCAGTATCTGTATTGCAAACCATAACGTCCAAAAGTAGAGAGAGAGGATGAGGGAAATTGTCTGCCACAAAGCCAGAGGGAGGTCTAGTAGGGGGAGAGATACTGGGGATATTGGTGGTGGAGAATGTGCACTGGTGGAGGAATGGGTGTTTGATCAATATATGACTGAAACTCAAACATGAAAATTTTGTAACTGTATCTCACGGTGATTCAATTAAAAAAAAACTCAACAAAAAGAAGTGAAATGATTTTATTCTCTCTCCATCTGTTAACAATTCAACTATCTCAATTCATCAAATAGCATCTAAGCCTCCCTGTCCTGATGCTTTGAACACTAGAAAAAGGTCTTTCCTGTGGTGCTTCTGTGCTCTTTACAGTCAGCACAGGTCTCAATCTTATATATTTACTTCACTTTTCTATTGTTATCGACTGAATAGCCACTCTCAATTTTAGAACAACCAGACCTTAGCTTATCAGAAAGCATTTTGTGTATTTCACTTGCAGAGCTCTCATTTTTATAGTTAGCACTTTACTCTGACTATATAGCAAGCATTCCCTTGCCATTAGGAAGTCAAACCATCAGGTCAATCAAGATTCTGAAGTCTGCTTTCATAAAGCTTAGGATAAAGATATGCACCCACAACTCTCACATATTACAATTTCTTTGATGACAAGGTCATTTTATTCAAAAGTTCTTTTCACATATGCAGCACTAACCAATTTTCCCTGGTTGGCTTAACTTCCCGACTGGAAATTGAACCTGGTTGGCTATGTGCCAGGCAAATGCCTTCATCACCTTATGATCTCATTTTAGGCATACAACTATCAGCATGTACAACCACTAAAACATTTAGTGAATATATCACGAGTCAGGCATTGTCCTGGGGCTCAGCAGTCAGAAGCCTGGCTGCTGTTCTTATGGACTTCTTATTGCAGGGAGACAACAAAGGAGTAACAAAGATCAGACAGAATTGCTATAAAGACAATGATGATGAAATAATAGAAAATGATAGAAACCTGTACCGTATTTCATTTAAGATGTTGAGGGAATATTTCACCGTGGCAGTATTTGAACCAAGGACTGAATGTCATTAAAAAGTGAATAAGCTATGAGAGAATCTTGACAGAAAAGCAACGAGAGTGAAAGACAACCTAGGAAAAAGCAAATTAGTCCTGTGGCAGAAACAAATCTGAAAGCTTAAGAATAATTAGAAGGATGGGGCTGGAGTGACAGTACAGCAGGTAGGGTGTTTGCCTTGCATGCAGCAGACCGGGGTTCAATGCCTGGTATCCCACATGGTCCCCCGAGCTTGCCAAGAGTAATTCCTGAGTGCAGAGCCAGGAGTAAGCCTGAGCATTCCAGGTGTGGTCCGAAAAAACGAAACAAAAAATAAAAAGAAAAAATAATTTGAAGGGCAGCAGAAGACCAGAGGGATAGTATAGGGTCAAGACATTTGCCTTGTACATAAACAACCCATTCAACCCCCAGCATCACATATGGTCCCCTATGTACTGCCTAGACTTATCCCTTAGTACAGAGCCAGGAGTAAACCCTGAAAACCTTTGGGTGTGGCTCAACACCCCTGCTCACACAAAAAAGACAGCTGAGCAAAAGTTGAGTGTATAAAAGAACAAAAGGAAGGACCAAGGAAGGCGTTCAGAGGCTGAAATACAGCCCTGTAATGCAGAGTCCCAGGTTCAATCCGTAGCACAGCAAGGTCCGCAGAGCTACCGGGACTGATGCACTTTCATGGGGTCATGGGAAGGTCCCCAAATCAAAACAGAACACAAGGGCTAGGAAAGCCTTGTGGGAAATGCTTAAGCATTTTCTTTATCGTGGTAAAATTTTATAATCTTACAGATAATTATCAGCCACACTTATAAACCAGTTCTAACTATCTTCGTCATGACCTTCTTATTCGTCTTACTTGATCATTTGTCTTATCTACTTTATTACCTTATTTGCTTTGTCTTCTTATATGTCTTACTCTAAAAGACTCTTCCATACCTTTTTAATTTTTGCTTTATGGGTCATAACTGGCGATGCTCAGGGGTTACTCCTGGTTCTGTACTCAGGAGTTACTCCTGGCGGTGCTCAGGGGACCATATGGGATACTGAAGATCAACCTAGGGCAGCCGCGTGAAAGGCAAAAATGCCCTCCTTGCTGTACTATTGCTTTGGCCCCAGTGCCCTAAAATGGTTATCATTTCTCCCTCCTTTGATCACATCTAAATTTATTCCCTATGCTTTGTGGTTTTGATGATTTAACTGTTAAACTTTATTCAATTTATCACTCACTTCTAAGGTTCTGATGAATACAATTCTGCTGAATTCTGAATATAATTCTGAATTGTACAATTTATCTGATGAATATAATTTCTGCTGCTTTCCACTAAACTGTCTAATTCATTTGGGCAATTTCAAGAAAATTAAAGGTCTTGAAATTTTACCTCATTAATCCACAGTCCTTAGTTCTTGACTTTGCCTAGTAATTCTCACAGGTATTGTTGTTTTTCCTACAGATACATTTTAAAACTTATTCCCGTATTCCACTGGCACTCTGAATGTTTAACCAGGACACTGAGTAGATTCAGATGGAATTCTTCCTTTTATTCTATTTTATTTAATTATTATGGAAGTCTTCAAATGCAAGTAGGGTAGTAGGTTATATTTCTAATACTCACCTCAAACACTGTTACTAAGGCCAATCTAGGTTGACCTAATGCTGCTTCCCAGGGACTAGAGCGGTGACTCAAAGGGGTGAGCATATGCTTTGCCTGAAGGAGGGCCAGGTTTGCTCCCCCAGCACTGCAGGAATGAGTCCCTAGCACAGAGCTGAGAGCAGATGCCAAGCATTGTCAGGTGTGGACCACTAACAAGCAAACAAACCTGTCTCTCCACCCCTTGTCAATAGACTTCCATTAAAACAAATCCCAGATTACATACTTCATTTCTAGAGGATTCCAATCAGCATCTTCAGTCTGACAACCTAGTGTCTTTCAGAAGCCCTGAGCAGAGGAAAGCTCTGAGGTAACCTCTGAGGAACCATCTTCTTCCAGCCAGGGGCCCCTCTGAGCTTGTTACTTTCAGTGGGCCTTCTGTCACACTACTTGGCCTTTTACATGAATTTCATCTACTGTCCCCTTGGAATACTCAGGGAAGGGTACATAGCCCCCAGGTGAAAAATACTGCTCTAGACTACCCACAAAGAACTAGCATGGATTACACAGCTTTTTTCCAGGTTCATTAACTTACCCAAAAGTATTTTCCTCCATATATGTAACAGTCAAATTTAAGATTTAAGTATAATGATTATTCCTTAATTTCTAATTCCTTTTATCATGGTAGGCTATTACTCATAAGCTCATTTAGTACAACTTAAGCACACAGACATAGGATAATCTAACATATAAAAATTATTCCACAGACCTCTTTTTAAACCTCAAAATAATAATATTATACACGACTTTAAAAACCTACACTTATTATATTCCAACACTGAAAGGTAGGTTTCTTTCTTTTTTTTGGGGGGGGGGTGTCACACCTGGCGATGCACAGGGGTTACTCCTGGCTCTGCACTTGAGAAATTTCCCCAGGTGGTGCTCAGGGGACCATATGGGATGCTGGGAATTGAACCCGGTTGGCCGTGTGCAAGGCAAATGCCCTACCCACTGTGCTATTGCTCCAGCCCCAAAAGGTAGGTTTCTTGACAAGATGTCAAACCACAGAGAAAACAAATTTTTCAAGCTGCTTATGACAGAAAAAATCTCACTTTTAAAAATAAATGCAGTTTGGATGACGAACACACCAAATTTGAATGTTAAATCAGTTCTTATACATACTATTAAAAATATAATGATTAAGTGATAAACACTTCCTTAGAAATGTATGCCAAAAGATCTGGAAAATCCCTGAGAAATCACTTACAGCTCTAACTCGAAGGAGATGTGAGATGACAGACTGCAGCTCATCACTGTAGTGTTTCAGTTCAGTAAATCTCCTGAAAAAGGAAATAAAACACCAGTTTTCTTTTCATAAAGAGGTAAAAACAGAAAGATCGTTAATGAGCTTAATAAAACTGATTTTATTTAACCTCGAACAGTTACAAAGTAATTTTTAAAGTTCTGAAATAAAACCACCATGCTTTTCTTTGATATCTTTAAAACCAAGGAAAGTTGTCATACTTCATAATTTACACCATGGGACTTAGAGATAAAACTTAAGGGGACAACGATCAGCTCTGTGGTACAGTAGTGTACCGTGTGTGAGGTGCATGTGTGAGGCCTGGGTTGGATCCCCAGAAACTCCCTAAAAAAATGGCCTGAAAACAAGAATCAGGGGGGAAATCTATGGTGCTAAAGGATCTTATGGTGAAACTATAAACTTAAACTCAATCCTAATGATGCTCAATAATCTTTGTGATTTTTCCCCCCCTGGACTTACCCTAATTTTATTTAAACCTCTACGGGTTACAACAAGTAATTTTCTTACCATGAGAAATTTTACGAATATAACCCTTGAGGAATTCTATTTACTTAGAAAAGGAAGTCTACTTAGAAAAAAGATAGAAGCCTTACCTTTCTATAATTACTTTCCCCAATCTATGTAACAATAAGATGTTAGGAACTACATTTAAAAAAAAAAAGCCTCATAGCTACTGAACTTCGCAATGCAGTTATGTAACAGTTTCATTTTTATTCTTTTTCTAATGAGGTCCTTATTAGATGGTATTTCTCAGAGTGATCATGCTACTGCTGATACAAGTGTCTCCTCTTGGGACCAAGAGCACAGATAGCACAGATAGCAGGTAGGGCATGGCCGGACGTGGCTGACCTAGGTTTGATCCCCAGTCTCCAATATGGTCGCCAGGAGTAATTCCTGAGTACAGAGCCAAGAGTAAACCCTGAACATTGCTGTGTGTGATCCAGAAAGTGGAAAAAAAAAAAAGAAAGAAAGAAAAGAAAAGAAAAGAAAAAGCATTTCCGCATTTCCTCTTACCAACCTAGGTAATTTCTAAGAGCTATCAAAAGATATCAGGGCTTGACTCTCTCATCTTTGATTCACTGCCATTCTAGTCACTATTCACAGTAATCTATTCGCTGTCACTTTCCATGAAGACCTGATTAAAACCTCACTCGCAAATAAAGCCCACAGATAAATCAGAAGCAATCTGATAAAAATCACTCACATCTTTAGCCAATAAACTGAGTAACTTTTGAAGATCTACCCACATCTGTTATTTTTTTGTCCTTCTTTCCTTTCCTTCCTTCTAGGATCCTTCTTGCCAATAATCTAGCTTGATAAAACCAAACAATGAAACAAAACAAAAACAACGCATCTATTTCCATGACAATGCACCCACCTAGCAAGAGTGCCTTAATACCTATCTCTTTTATAGCCACGCTTTTACAAGGCCTTATCTGTGCAGCCAAAACTGTTTCTCACCTCCTCCATCACTACTAGTTCCCTACATTGGAGAGATATTCCTGTCAAAGTTACCAATTACTTCTATGCTGCTAAAATCCAATGACATAATTTAGTTCTCATCTTACTTGACATATTTTAGTTATTATCTTAGATGACCCTTTTGTTCATCAATGTGAAAAATTGGTCTCACTTTCCTCAAAACTTTGTTTCCTTGACATAAATGTTCTTTTCTCACACCTCAAGTCATCTCTGGTACTCAATTTCTTCACCTACCTCTTACACCTCCAATTTTAGTGTGCAAAGAACTTACACAGTATTTGTGTAAAACACTTCTAAGGTAGAACAAATGTTTCAAATATACAAGACTTCTGGTATCATAAAACCAGCCAACCAAACACTACCGAGGGCATCTCAGTAAGACAGGGGTCTCACCTCCTGGTGACTGAGGTGCTTATGGAATATCCAGAGATGGTTAGGGGCTCAGGGGTCCCTTCTGGCAGTGCTGAGGGAATCATGGTGTGCAGAAGATAGAACTCAGGCCTCCTAAATGCAAAATGTTCTTTCCAGTCCACTAAGCTATTTCTGGGGCTCTGAACCACTTTAATAACAGGATGAATATTAAGGCAGTTAGATCTAAAAGAGATTATATTTATGGTATAATGTGTTTGTATATATACATATATATGGACACTTTTAACAATGACTGATATAGGTGATTCTTTAACCATGAACTTTAGGTAACAATTGTATATGTTAACATGAACTTAAAAACAAAAATTGGCTTGGTCATATCACATTTGAAATTCTATGTATAATATGTATACAAAATAAAATTTAGCAATCTAGAAAATCAGGTTTTGTTCAGAAAAGGAAAGACATCCAATTAACAAATGTGTTTTATTAAGTTGAAAAATACTCAACTGATAAGCTACTAATTCTATTTACTTCCACAAATAAATTTTTTTAATTTAAAATTTTCTAAATTTTTTTTCCATAAACAAACACTTTAATTTAAAACTTCCTAAAAATTTTTTTGGGGCCACAGCCAATGGTGCTCAATGGCTACTCCTGGCAGTGCATGGGAGTTGCCTAATCAGTGTTCAAGGGACCACTCAGTGTGAGGGGTCTAATCTGGGGCTCCCAGATTAGCTCAAAGCATGTGTTCCAACATCTGAGCCGTCTCCCTGACTCTAGAATGATTTTTTTCTGTTCTTAATCTGGAGAATACCTCTAATATACCACAGAAGTCATTGTAATCCTATAAAAAGCTCAGTGGAACCCTAAATGCATATAACTAAGTAAAGTCAATATGAAAAGGCTACATAAATTACATTTTGAAAAAACCAAAATTCTAAAGTAAACAGTAAAAAAAAATCAGTGGTTGCCAGGACAGTGGGCAAGGGATAGAATTTTTAGGGCAGTGAAAATACCTGCCTAATATGATCTAGAGATATATCATTATACACTTTTCAAAATTTAGATAACATACAATACCAAGAGTGAATTTTAGTATCAACTTCAAACTTTAGGTGACAATGGTGTCAATGCAGGTTCACTGATTTGAATAAATGTGCCACCCTAGTGGTGAATGATCATAGTGAAGGAGGCCGTATATGTCTGGAGACAGCATTTAAATAAGAACTCTGTACTTTGACTTCAATTTCACGCCGAATCTAAAATTACTCTTAAAAAATAACATCTTGGGACCAAAGTGATAGGACAGTGGGTAAGGTGTTTGTCTTGCAGGCAGTCGACCTGGGTTCGATCCCTGGCATCCCATATGATCTCCTGAGCACTGTTACGAGTAATTCCTGAGTACAGAGCCAGGAGTAACCCTAAGCACTACCAGGTATGGCCCCGAACAAACACAAAAACATCCTTCGAAAGCAAAGGATACAGCCCGGCAGTAGAACACTTCTCATGTATGAGACCCTGAATCTGATCCCTGATAACACCAAAAACATAAAAATTAAGTCTAAAAAACCTCAAAAAAAAAAAAAAAACAACCCCAAAAAACTTCTCTCAAAAAAAAAAAAACCCAAAAACTTCTCTATGGTTATAACAGCAATTTTTCCCTTTTTCCTTCCGTTTGCATTGTGGAGATATGAGGCAGGCACCAGGCTGCTGAGCCTCATCTGCTGTTACCATCACAACTTCAAATTACCAAAAGTTAGAAACACCGCCTTAGTGCTGGGGAGATGGAGAGCTGGGGCACGCATGCACCTAACCCTGACTGGATTCCCAGCATCACACGCTTCCCCTCCACACGTCTGGGTGTGACCGTGGTGCTCGCTGGTACCACAGGGTCTTTGAAGGACTTCGTTTGAAGGTCCTCTAAAGAACCACCTACTTAACTGCCTGAGAATGGCCAAAAGTAGCCCCCACGGTCCCTTGAACACTTACTGGGAGGTCCAAAGATACACGAGCAAATTTTTAAAATAAAAGATTTATGCTAAAACATATTTAAAAAAAACAGGCAGTATATGAACACATTATGGTATATAAAGTCAGGCATAATAAGTCATCAGACTATGCAACCTTGGCTTTTGGTAAGAATACACATGACGTGTACTACGTAGGGGTACACAGCCGTGCTGGGGAGCACTGAGGTGACTGCACCTATGCTCTGTAGACCATGTGGTGCCAGGAATAACTGGTGCTTCAGCTTGCCTGTGCTCAAGCTTTTAGAGATTTTTCCGCAATCCTAGTACATATACACACATCATATAGATATGTGTGTGTATACATACATAGATACATACATATACGTATATGTATACACACATATATATGAATGCTGAAATGTTTAACTAGAAGAATGCTAACAGCACTCATAAATTTCGGCTGCCAAAATGAAAAGACTTCATGTGACTAAAAATATGTCTAACTGGAAAATTTCAACAAATCAAATGCCACACAAAGGTCCACATAACAAAAGGCCTGAATTATCCAGGAATTCAGAGAACGACCAAAACCAAAATATTACTATCCCATCCTGAAGTTATTTTTGTAAACAGGACTACCCTTAACAGAGAAATGCCTGGGGCTAGAGTGATAGAGCAGCAGGTCAACCTGGGTTTGGTCACCAGAACTACATATGGGCCAGGAGCCTGGAACTGCCAGGAGTGATCCTCGAGCACTGACATGTGTGTCCCCCAAAACAAAAACAAAATAGAGATACCGTCATGTATACAAAACTGACATTAGGTCAAGTAATTATTAGATGGGCTGGAGCGATAGCACAGTGGGTAGGGCGTTTGCCTTGCACGCGGCCAACCCGGCTGATCTGAGTTCGATTCCTCCACCCCTCTCGGAGAACCCGGCAAGCTACCAAGAGTATCTCGCCTGCACGGCAAAGACTGGCAAGTTACCCGTGACGTATTTGATATGCCAAACACAGTAACAAGTCTCACAATGCTACTGGGCCTGCTTGAGCAAATCGATGAACAATGGGAGGACAGTGACAGTAACAGTGATTATATAAAAAATCTCTAAAGTTATTAATATGGGTATGCATTTTTTATCAAGTTTTCGTGGTATGTAAAAGTAGACAACTTATTATTATTAAAACTACATATAATATACAATCTGCCTCTACACATGAAACAAAGTCATTAGAAACATCACATGAAATTAAAATTACTCATTTTTCTGACAACTTCACCAACAATAAATTCTAGGAAAAAGCATTGGTTTACTTTTCTAAAACTTTACTTTCAATCTTAGACCCAATTATGTTATCAAATTTCAATCAGTTTTATCAGACTACAAAAGTGTTTCACTAAAAGTGAACTGTTATTTAAAAATACTTAGCAAATAAAGTGCATACATTCAGAAATGAAAAATTAAATAGATAGGCATCATTCAAAACAACACTGTAACTTGTATTAAAACAAAACCTTACTTGTCTGGGTTTTTCACTCTGAATGTTGCATTAAGCGCTTTTAACCTGGAGTCTGCCTGGAAAAAATAATTTGTTCACTTAATACAATTACATTTCAGGGTATAAATCCAAACAGTTTTACTTCCCCTTTAGAAACAAGATGCTCAAGCACAATTTTCTCCATAGCATTTATAATGAGCACAGCAGGCACACCTAAAAATATAACAGTAATCATTTTTTCAAAACTACAAAAATGCCATACATTAAACTGAATACATGACAGTCAATGACGTAAAGAAAAACCTGTGAACATCCAGACACGAAGAAGGGACACAGCTCTGCGTAATTATGGCTCAAAACAGGTCGCATGGAAAAAGTAAGTGATTTTTTCTCCAAAGTAAAAAAAGCAATGAATCGTACAAATAAACGAAACTGCTCTGCTTTGAGAGCTCATATAGGTGAGTGGAGCTCTCAGAGGGAATCAAACCTAGGGAACACTGGTTTTTCTCACTTTCATGTTAAGTGCTTTAGAAAAGAAAAAATATAGAAAAGGCTGTGCTAAAATAATATTATATACTAAAACCAGTTAGATGACAAATTACTTTCAAGTTGGAAGAAAATATTATCTCATTTTTACAGATAAAATGATAATTTAATGAAAAGCAAGCCACCTTGTAGGTGGAGAGTTAAGATCTGAAATATGCAGAAAAAAATTCTAGAGCTGGACGAGTTTGGAATGTTTAGGAAAGGTCAGTATGGTTGGCAAGTTATAAGCAAACGGGAGAAAGTTGCAATATAAGAAGTAGACAGGATTCGGTCAGATTTTGACAGGACTTTTCGGTTAATCAAATCATGACAGACCCTTTTTTCTGTTTTTTGGAGGGGTGTTTATATTCTGCTACTCAGGGGACCATGCAGTTCTGGGGACTGACTGAACCAGGGAACCCTCATGCAAGGCATCTGCTCATCTGCTCCAGTCCTTTGAGCCGTCTTCCGAGTCCCACCCAGTGTTGGCAGTGCTCACTTCCAGGGAAAAATAAATTCATACTGCTTAGCATACTAACAGAACAACTATGAACTATACAACCTATTTAAAAAGTAGGTAACTGAAGACACTGGAGTGTAAGAAAATGTGGGCATAGTTTGGAAGAATAAAGACTACAAAACATTTTTTTGATAGCTTAAATCTTATTTTAAATTTTATTTGATTGCGCTCTCATGACACTTTTAAGTCAATTAAAATTTAGAGCCTGCTGAACATTGTTGATTTGATGTTTGCTCTAGAGTAGCAAGTCAGAAGAGTAATGAATATCTCAGCCTGAGGAAGAATGAGCAGGAAAGGAAGCACAATGTTTAAACTATATTCCTCAATAACTGCTCTCTGAGAGATATCGATGTTAAATATTTTATCGCAAACTTAATATAACCAAGTCTCACTCTAAGTCCTCATTTTAAAAAAGATACCAAATTACTTTTCTGACAAAGGCATACAAGGCGAACAGTTTAGTTCGCTCAATCAGGAATCAATCTCACAATGTGATATGATTTTGAAAATTCCAATCAAACAGAAAACCTTATACTACTCTAACTTCCAATCTATAATTATAAATATTCCCCCCCCAAATAATAAATTTAACACACAAGTTAAGGGTTCCTCAGATTACTTTTTTCTGGATTAATTATATACTCCTATAAATTCATTCTCTAGAAGTTCAGACCAAAAGAAACTAAGAGATCAGGTTTGTTCAGGGTGGTATGGCCTAGACTGAACTGTAAGAAACTGAAAGAGCTATTACAAAAAACTAAATGTCTCACGAGCACAAAGTGGCATTTCACCATGTTACTCTTTCTTGTATTTGAAGGACAAATGAACTGATGTGTGTGAAAGTCCTTACAAACAAAATCAGCAGGGATAGGGATACTATAGTGGGCAAGGCACTCGCTTGCACTTGTTTAAGGGCAAACTCCCAATCCACTGTATTACTGCTCTGGTCCCTACATGTTTTCTTTGTCCTGGGGCTTGTCTTTCCTGTTATATTTACATTTTCTTTCTGATTTAGGGGCCATCGGTTGGGGGTTGCTCCCACTGGTACCCATGGGTCCATGTGGTGCCAAGGATTTAACTCAGTCACAAGACGCCAAGCATGTGCTCCAGCCCCCTGAGCTATCGATGTCCCTTATCTCTATCGTAACTCCCAAACCCTGACTTGCTACAACCCAGCCTGGGCCCCTCACTAACATGCCTCCTTCCTGGCTTCTAGATTGATTCCTCTTTTTTCTGCATTTTTTATGTTGAAAAGTTCTGTTATTTAAATTTATGATGCATAGAGCACCTACAAACAACAACAAAAAAATTATCAGTGTTTCTGAGCCTGATGATTTCTTTTAAAAGATTTAAGGAGGGGATGGAGCAACAGTTTTGTCGGTAAGTGCTTTGCCTTGCACACAGCCAGCCCAGGTTTGATGCCTGGTACCTCATATGGTGCCCTGAGTCAGCCAGAACTCACTCTCTCCTCTCTCTCTTCCTCTCCCTCTCCCTCTCCCTCTCTCTCTCTCCCTCTCTCTCTCTCTCTCCCCCCCGCCCCCTTCACTCTCTCTCTCTCCTCTTTCTCCATCATCTCATATAAAGAGAATGACCATCAACAGTCAAGGTCAAATCTTCTAATAAAACAAATCAAGGAAGGCAACTTGACAACAAAATTGCAACTTGAGGAACAACTTAAGAACAAAGTTGGGAGTGGACCCTGAGCACCATCGGGTATGTCCCCAAAGCCAAAATAAACTAAACTAAAAATAAAGGCCAGAGAGGCTAGAGACAGAGTTCAACTCCTGAGCATCATGCCAGAAGCAGCCCTCAAGCACAGTTACCTGTGGCCCCCAAATAAATTTTAAAAAGTGGAAGGGAGATTTCTAACACAAAGCTACCGTATTCAGAAATATAATCAGACGGCACCCACACAGAAGACTCAAATCACTCTGAAAATATGTTAGCTTGTATAAATGAGAAATTCAAGAGTGTTCTCAAGATCACCAAAGTCAAAGCTAAAAATTAGGTTCAAGGACAAACTGTTAAGTAGTTACTAAACTGATGATAAAATCAATGACAGCGATTTTTTAAAAATAGTTTAGGTATTATGATTACAACCGTGCTAACAGTTTTGATGTACAGTTACTGCATTCAGCCTGAACCAAAGTGCCCAAGACGCTTCAACACTGTTCGTTTTCTTAGGGGAGGGGGAGCCCCGAAGTTGTGCTAGGAGTTCTGAGGGCGCCAGCAAAGCCCCTGATTTCTGGGCAAGCAGGCTGTTTAATGCAGGGTCTAAGGATGCTGTGGGCTCAGACCCTATGGTGTGAAGGACCCTGGGCCTCCCGGGAGGTGGAGGGAACTGAGCCAGAGCTGGGTACACAAGAGGCTCACATGCTCACTGCTCCGCTGTCCCCAGGTCTCTCACTGTTCTCACAGCACTTCTAATATACCTCTTCCGCCCCCCCGCCCCAAGCCACTGCTTGGCAACAGCTTAGTAATGGCCAATGGTTTATGACAATTTTATGTATTTTCTATTATACAGAGACATCAACAAAATTTTTAGTCTAGTTAGCATTTTCCTTTATTGTAAACTGCTAACACCTTCGACCATAGTCCTAATAAAACCCTGTCAAAGAGGTCGTGAGATAGTACAGCAGGCAGGGTGCTTGCCCTGCACGTGGTCGACCTGGGTTTGATCCCTGGCACCTGATATGGTCTCCCAAGCTCTGCCAGGAGTAATCCCTAGGTACAGATCCAAGAATAATTCCAGAGCACAGCCAGGTGTGGTGGATTCCTGAGCACAGAGGCAGAAGTCAGTCCTGAGAATCATTGGATGTTGCCCAGAAAATTAAATCAAAAAAATTTTTTTCTTTTTATGCTAAATTTCATATGCCTATATCCTAATACTTGGACAACTGTTTTAAGATTACTGTTAAGACATTTTTTTTCTTGTTGCCCATGCATGTTGAGCATTTATTATAATATTGCACGAACCATTTATCAACTTAAAAGTTTTTACAACTTAAATTCTTAAAATAATTTTTGTGTGTGGTGCTGGTGCACTCACACATGCTCTAAGGCACATGCACCCTTGGCGTCAAGTATATGTTACTTTCTTTTTATGGTGCCAGGGATACTCAGAGCCTTGTACATGCAATATACATCCTCTACCATTGAGCTACACCCGCGGCCCATTTGTCAATTTGTTTTACATTTTAACTACCTGTACATTCAGTTTACAAAAGAGATGACAACTTTCCAAACCCTGCAAAACCAGTGAACATTATTTTGGAACAATAGGGAAAAGAGAATGGAATGACCGACCCAAGTTCCAGGTTCTATCTTTGCCATCCCATATGATCCCCTGAACACTGCCTGGAGTAATTCCTGAGTGCAGTAACCCTGAGCACACTGCCAGGTACGGCCAAAAACAAAAACAAATCGTCAAACGTTCCTCCCCAATAGAGTTAAACCCACAAATAATGCCCATCACATTCTCACCAGCAAAACTAAAATCATACATATCCAAAGCAAACAGCAGAGTTTCTTTGAAAACACTATCACTGATACTAAACACAAAGCTAATTTCCAACATCACTCACTTTATAACATCAAGTATTCCACTAAGTACATGGTACTGTATAGGAACAATGAATTATTTCACACAGTCTTACCTTCAGCTGAAACCCAGTTTCATTCACTGTCTCCTTCCAGTTGCCTTCCTAAAAAAGTAAATTTTTAGAAATATGAAAAACACACAAAATATTAAAAATTAAACAGGGGGCTGGAGTGATAGCACAGTGGGTAGGGCGTTTGCCTTGCACGCGGCCGACCTGAGTTCAATTCCCAGCATCCCATATGGTCCCCCGAGCACCGCCAGGAGTAATTCCTGAGTGCAGAGCCAGGAGTAACCCCTGTGCACTGCCAGGTATGACCCAAAAAAGCCAAATAAATAAATAAATAAATAAATAGAGTATCTGTAGCTACGTTCTTCTTTCAGGTAAAAAAAAATTTAAATTAAAATTTGTCACTTTTGAAGCCTGAGAGACAGTGTCATCAAAAAGCACTATCCTGAATATCTTCCTGTTTGTTTCTGGGTTTCCCCTGGCAGTGCTCAGTGCCTACTCTTGCTCTGCACTCTCAGAGACCACTCCTAGTGGGGCTAGGGGACCACCAGGGGTGCCAGGGATCAGATCCAGACTGGCTGCATGCAAGCACCCTACCCGTTCTATTATCTCCCAGTGTCTCCCATCTTGTATATCTTTAGCAAAAAAACCTTAAAGAATGAAGCAATCTATAATCCTGGCAAACAACGAAATGCACATTAACAAAGCTATTCCAAAAAAAAAAAAAGCCTTAAACTTAAAAGAAAGTAAAATCCCATGTCAATGAATTTCTGAAAAAATAAAGAGAAGAAAAATACCTGTGTTAAAAACAAATAGAAGATTTTGTCTCTACAAAGAATGGGATGTGAAGCAACTCTCAAGAGAAAGTTTTCTAAACCAATCCGTCGTCTTTCCACAAAATCCGGGTCCATGTTGTCAGCAGAAAGCTTATGCCAAACAAATTCTGCCTAGGTAAACAAAACAATCATGAAGAATAACCTCAGTGCTAAATACCTACACATTATACTGTCATTTCATTTCTTACCCTTTTTTCTGGTAGAGGTGGAACAACAACATGTGGATAGCACACTAAAAGGTAGTTTCTCAGCAACTCAAATTCACTATACCGCCTCCACAGTGAGTCAGTCAGGACACTCTGACCATCAAGATGTTCAACTGACCTGAAAGAAATAACAGACAAGCATTATCACTTTTCTTAAAACACACACACACACACACACACACACACACACACACACACACACAGCTTTAAAATTTATAATCCCACTTAATGTATGCTTACAAACAAGGCCCGAGTAAAGAATTCTTCAAGTAGCCTTATTTAATTTTTTATTTATTTATTTTTTAAATTTATTCATTTATTTTTTATTTTATTTATTTATTTTTTTGCTTTTTGGGTCACACTTGGCAATGCACAGGGGTTACTCCTGGCTCTGCGCTCAGGAATTACCCCTGGCGGTGCTCAGGGGACCATATGGGATGCTGGGAATGGAACCCGGGTTGGCCACGTGCAAAGCAAACGCCCTACCTGCTGTGCTACTGTTCTATTTTCTTTTTTGCTTAATTGACTTTAACAACATAACATTATGGCCCCTACACTTCATGTTATGCAAAATACAAAGATAAATACTGTGCTTTAAAAATAAAAAATAAATAAGCAAGACATGTAAAAACAGGCGCTTCCATTAAATAAATGAAAAAAATTTTTTAAAGCAAGTTTACTTTCCATACCATTTTAAGAAGGGAATTTGCCATTTTAAACAATATTCAAGTTTATTAAACAAAATTATAAAATGTTTAACTTTCATCAGCTTCAAGATTTATGTAGCTTCCAAATTTTGCACATAACTGTACTTTCAAATCAGCCAACACCCGCTGAATTGATTCTACTTGGGATTCTAAAGCATCGAATTCTTCTTGCAAATTTCTCCAGCCCCAACTCTTACAAGAACTCTGTGGGGACCACTGTGCCCACTGTGTGGATAAGGTGGCACCTACAGGGGCACGCTCTTCCTACGGCACAGTGCTCATCAGATCCATCTCGTTCCAAACCTCTCGGAACAACCACATTCTCTCTGCTATAGCCTATTTAACTTCAAGAGAAACTGTCACATCAGGAACATTCTAAAAGTCTCAATATATAATAAAAATCAATTAATACATTATTTTAATTCATCAAATACAGTAAAGTTGACTTACTGTTTCATTAAACACAAAGTTATCTGTTATTTTTAAGAGATCCCCCAAGCGGGGAAGTGGGGGCCTGGGAATCCAAGCCAAGTCCTGCTGCTTGGGTCTAGACCAGCCCCCGACTCTGTGCTACAGCTGTGTCAGGAACCAAACTTACAGCACGGTCTCCATCCCTCTGAACTATCTTACAGGACCTAATATAAATAAGTTTTAATTGCACCTCTGACACAAAGAGAGAGTATTCTTGCTGAAAACCCAGACATTGCCAAAACCTCAATTCAGGGTTATGAATATACCATATGCATCCAGGTACTAGGAAGTATTCACAAAAGCAAAATATTAACTCTGAAAGAGTGGGGAAAAGGGTTATAAAAATTCATATATCGGCCCACAAACCACCTCCACCATCATGTAAGCTCATTTACCAGCCTTGTGCCAGAGACTCATAAATAAATCTTGAAAGAGATCAACTAGCCACAAAAATTTCCCAGACACCCATTCCCAGCTGAGACTCCTGGGGTGCACTCAGAGTGGGGCTGGACAGTGCTTACCCAGACAAAGCCCTGGCAGCCACTAGTTCCCAGACCCCAAAACCATTGCCAAGTCTGGGGCTGGACTCCATCACCTCAGGACTGTGCCTCACAGAGAACTAAACCTGCTAAAAATTTCAGGTACGTGGGTCCTAAGGTAGAAAATTCCAGGCCTCCTTGGAGCTGGGATGTACTTTCCTGTACTTCCAGAAGCCCTGGAAACCATGCCCATGAATCACCTCTGCTGTTGCCCTCACAGATGCTCATCTAACAGCCTTTTCCCAGAGATTCGTAAATAAACTTCGAAAGAGATCAACTAGCCGCAAAACTTTCTCAGACATATCCCAGTTAAGATTTTAATTCCAGCTGGAATACCCAGTTAAAAATTCTGAATTTTCTGGAATGCATGGTTGCATTTGCAACCATGTGATATCCCTCAACTTTAAATCTAAACTAATAATCCAGTAGTAGTACACCAGATTAGATAGGATGTAACTAGAAGCCAACCAATCTTCACTAATAAAAACATTAACACAAAAGGCTTAACTTGTAACATCTTAGAAATAGCTCAGACAAGGATGTAATGTCCCCATGATGAGATACAATAATTTTCACTGATTCTTTTCTAAAGAAATATTTTTTAATCATTCTGTTAGTCATTTATTGGTAAAAAGCAACATAAAATAAAATTTTTGTGGACCTGCTATGGGGGCAAGCCTAATGGGTGGCTGGGAAAACAGAGCCAACAATGGAAGGAAGGTGACATAAGTGGTGGGATTGGTGTTGGAATACTGAATGCCTGTAAGAAATCATCATGAACAACTTTGCAAACCACGGTGCTTAAGTAAAGTGTGTGTGTGGTTGGGGGGGGGGGGGGAGGAATTCATATCTTTAACATAAAGAGGTATAGGCAAAGATTCGTCATATTAATTTAAGAGTTCAATTTATAGGGGGGCCAGACTGGGTAAGGCGCTTGTCTTTTAAACAGCTGACCAGGTTTGAGCCCTGGCATCCCATGTAGTCCCTCAAGTCTAGCCAGAAGTAATCTCTAAGTGCAGAGCCAGTAAGTAGTTCTGAACACTACTGGGAATGGCTCCCCCAAATTTCAATTTATATTTGCCAAGTTAGGGTAAAATCATGTACAATATATGAAATTAGCTTGATAATATGTAATATTTCTACTAGTATAATCACTGTTAGAAAGCTTCTAATACTTATCAGGACCTTCTTATTTTCTTTTTTGGTTTTTGGGCCACACTCAGCGATGCTCAGGAATTACTCCTGGTGGTGCTCAGGAGACCACATGGGATGTTAGGGATTGAACTCGGGCTGACTGTGTGCAAGGCAAATGTCCTACCTGCTGAACAATCTCGCCAGGACCTTCTTATTTTCCAATTCCAAAAGGAAGACTTTCAGCTTCTCAAGAAATCCACATTTGTACACTAGGGCATAAAAGCCCAGAAGTTACATTAAATTTGGGATAACATTTTAAGCATGCACACTATGCCAAGCTCAGCAGGAAATGCTCAATGTTTAAAAAATATAAAAGTTGGTCACCAAATTGACTCATTTCATATTAAAAGAAAACAGTTTGAAATTCAAAATGAAAAAAAAAATAGCTCCTATGGCAAAATTGTAGGATTAAGCCAAATTTCTTTTTTTTTTTGTCTTCAAAATCAATAGTGGGCTGGGGAAACAGTTTGGTGGATGTGCTCTACTTAATTGTTGGGGACCCCAGAGGTGCCTGGGCTCACTGTGCAGGGTGTGAGGCTCAATGTGCACTGGCATTTGAATCATGGCCCTATAAAGGCCATTTCTAGGACTAGAGGGATGGCTCAAATGACTCATGTTCTTGCACAGAAGACCCTCAGGTTTGGTACCACAACTCGGTCTCCAAAGCAACCCCCAGTAGCACCATGCTGGGTATGGGCCCCACAACCCAAATAAGGGCCACTGAAAGCAGACACTAGCTCAACGGGGCAAGCACACACTGCATGTTGGAGCCCAGGGTTAATCTCTGGTACCACCAGGAGCAATCCCTGAGCAGGAGCCTTGAACAGCTCCTAAGCACCACCGGGTGTTGCCCCAAAACCAAAAAGAAATTAAATATCAAGACACTGATAACTGGGAAAAAACATTAAAAGCAGAGACTTTTACTGAACTATAAAATGACCCCACTTATCCAATTAAGTAACAAATATTTAATAGAATAAAAACACATAATTTGTTTGAGATGCAACATTTAACCCTCACCAAAAAAGTAAATGGTATCTGACAGTTTTATAAATCAGAGAAATTAAGCAATGACAAGATACTGCTTCCCAACTTCTACTCCATTTTAATTTTATTTATTATTTTGGTTCTTGGGTTATACCCAGTTGCTCTTAGGGCTTACTCCTGGCTTTGCACTCAGGAATCACTCCTGGAGGTGCCTGGGGGGCTATGTAGGACAGACACTGAGGATTGAACCTGGTTGGCTGGATGCCAGGCAAGCAAGCGCCTTATCCACTGGACTAATTCTCCAGCACCCTTCTTCTTCTTCTTCTTCTTCTTAAATTAGGAAACCACTAGACAGAGCATTACAAAATTGTTCCTGATGGTGTTTCAGTCACACAATGTTCCAGCACCCATCCCTCCACCAATGTAATCTCCCAGCACCAGTGGCCCCAGTTTCCCTACCACCCTTTCAAGCCACTCCCTGCCCCAGCCTGCCTCTATGGCAGGCACCTCTTTTCTCTCTCATTTTAGGCATATGGGTTGTGATACAGATGCTGAAGGGTTATCATTATATCCCTTAATTGCTTTCAACACTCAGTCCTTGGCCAAAGTGATAATTTAGAACTGTCACTGCCATAATGGTCCCTTCTCTATCCTAACGCCCTTCGCCCCCACACATTCATGGCAAGCTTCCAACCACTGACCAGTCTTTCTGGCCTGTTTTTCCTGGCCTTGGATGTCAGTCTCAGACTATTGCAGCCAATCTGTACCTGTCCCTCTACTTTCATTTCACTCAGCATGATACTCTTCCTGTCCATCCATTTAGAGACAAACTTTATAACCTCATTTTTTCTAATAGCTGTGTAGTATTCCATTCTGTAGATGTATGCAATAGTTTTTTTTTTTTTTTTTAAATCCAGAGTCTGTTTTCGGACACTAGGGTTTTTTCCAGATTCTGGCTGTTAGGGATAGTGCTGCAATGAACATAAAAGTGTAGATGGTGTTTCTGCTGAGTGTTTCTGGGCCTCCAGGGTATATTCCCAGAAGTGGTATTGCTGGATCATATGGGAGCTCAATTTCTAGTTTTTTGAGAATGTCCATATTGTTTTCCAAAAAGGCTAGAACAGTTGGCATTCCCACCAGCAATGAATAAATGAGGGTCTCTTTCTCCCTGCATCCGAGCCAGCACTGGTTGTTGTTATTTGTATATGTGTCAGTCTCTTTGGTGTGAGATGATATCTCACTGTTACCTTGATTTGCATCTCCCTGATGGTTAATGATGTAGAGCATTTTTTCATGTGCCTTTTAGCTATCTGAATTTCTTCTCTGAGGAAGTTTCTGTTCACTTCTTCTCCCCATTTTTTGATGGGGTTGGGTATCTTTTTCTAGTAAAGTTCTACCAGTGCCTTATGTATCTTTATTAACCCCTTATCAGATGGGTACTGGGTGACTAGTTTTTCCAATTCGATGGGCTGGCTTCACTGTTTCTTTTGAGGTCCAGCACCATATTTTTAAAGGGTTCATAATCTATAAGCAGGAAAATATAAAAGTCTGGAGAAATTAATCATTAATGTCACTTACCTTTACTCACTCTTAGACAACAAAAACTGCAACACTAAAGGAAACTGTTAAATAGACTTCCTACTTGTATTTAAAAAGTGAGGGATAGGGGCTGGAGTGATAGCACAGAGGGTAGGGCGTTTGCCTTGCACGCAGCCGACCCGGGTTCAATTCCCAGTAACCCATATGGTCCCCCGAGCACCGCCAGGAGTAATTCCTGAGTGCAGAGCCAGGAGTAACTCCTGTGCATCGCTGGGTATGACCCCCTCAAAAAAGTGAGGGATGAGTGGGAGATAGGTAAGGGGTCAGGAGCCAGCGATGCATAAGGATCTGAGTTCGATCTCCAGCACCACTGGGCCTGAGCAGTGCTGCATCACCAGGCACGTGCACTAAAATGTCTGGCTACTTGGCCAAGCATCAAATACCACTGGAAGTGGCAAACAGGCTCCTTGAGCACAACTTCGAAGTTCCCTATCCCAACCCAGGAAAAAGAAAAAAAAAAGAATCAAGTGAATTAAAAACATTAACTTTTTATGGGGCCGGAGCGATAGCACAGCGGGTAGGGCATTTGCCTTGTACATGGCAGAACTGCGTTCGATCCCCGGCATCCCATATGGTCCCCCAAGCACCGCCAGGAGTAATTCCTGAGTGCAGAGCCAGGAGTTACCCCTGAGCATCGCTGGGTGTGGTCCAAAAACTAAAAAACAACCAAACAAAAAAGTAATCTCTTCAGCAGTAAAAGTAAAAAGGACCTAATTTTATTACCCAGTTGGGTAAAGAAACAGGCACATATTGAAAATATCCTCTTCAGGGTTTTGGGTTTTTGTTTTGTTTTAGGACCAGACCCAGTGGTGCTCATTTCTGGCTTATTCCTGGCTCTGTGCTCAGGGATCACTCCTGGTGGTTTTTTTGGGGGGGAGGGGGAAACGGGGGCGGGGTGGGTACCACACTGGATGTCGGATCAAAAGTATTAGGGGTCAGAGTGATAGGAGAGCGGTAAGGTGTTTGCCTTGCCTGTGGCTGACCCAGCACCCTATAAGATCCTGAGCCCTAGGCTGGAGTTATAGCACAGCAAGTAGGGTGTTTGCCTTGCACACAGCCTACCTGGATTTTTTTTTTTAATTTTTATTAGTGAAACACCATGAGGTACAGTTGTAGACTTACAAATTTTTGTGCTTGGGTTTCAGTTATACAATGATCGAGTACCCATCCCTCTACCAAGTGCTCATTCTCCACCACCAATGATCCCAGTATCCTTCCCACCCCCCATCCCACCCTGCCTCTGTGGCAGGGCACTCCCTTTTGTTGTCTCTCTCCTTTTGCAGCCTACCCGGGTTTGATCCCTGGCATCCCATATGGTCCCCCAAGCACTGCCAGGAGTAATTCCTGAGTGCAGTCACGAATAACCCCTGTGCATCACCAGGTGTGACCCAAAAAGGGAAAAACAAAAAAGGTCCTGAGCCCTACCAGGAGAGACATCTGAGTGCAGAGCCAGGAGGACGCCAAGCTCATCCGGTAGGGCCCCAAAACAAAAAGGTCAGAAATACTAATCTTCCCTCTTCCCACAAAGCTTATGCTCTATGCAGCTACAAAGAGTCATACCAGAAGAGACACACGTGTAGCTTATTAAAAAGTAAAGAAACAAAGAGCCGAGAAGGTGAGTGCCAGATAAACTTCCTGCCTTGCTGCCAGGGCCCCACGCCCACTCCTCGGTACTGCATGGTCTCCCAAGCACCAAATCGGGAGCAGCCCTGGAGAACTGCCCAGGTATGGCCCCAAAACCAAAACAAACCAAAAAATTCTTCTAGAATATTCTGTAAAAATTCAATTATGTAACGGAATTTATACCAATAGTTATCAAATTTTTTTCTAATAAAATTTATTACTATTATATATTTTATGTAAGTTTCCAATGTTTCTTGAGTTGCTAGGGGCTGCTAAGTGGTAGAGGCAAGTGATCTATCCACATATCGCATATATTAAACTTTTTTCTATCTAAATCTAATTCTTTTATTTTTTTCATTCTTAAGTTTTGGAGTCACTTCCAGAGGATCTCAGGGGCTATTCCTGGCTCTATGCTTAAGAGTGATCCCTGATAGTGTTCGGGATGTCCACACATGGTGAAAGGGATTGAACCAGGGTACACTACATACAAGATAAGTGCCTTAACACCTGTATGATCTCTCTGGCTCCGAAGCCTGATTCTTAATTCTCAATACTCACCTTGTTTCAATGAGGTAAGCAGTATATGTCTCCTGCATATTCATAGCATTTCTTCCAGTTCGCTTTTCTGCTTCTGAAACACTAATTTCTATCTTCTTCAAGCCAAAATTATTTTCTGTCATCTGGATAAAAACAAATGAAAGAAAAATCTTTAATACAGTGTGGGAGGAAACTATAAGCAATTAAAATAAAATCCATTACTGGTATATATTTCATGTAGTAAGTTTCTTGTATTTCTTGAGTTGCTAGGTGTTGCTAATGACAGAAGCAAATAATCTATCCACACATCACGTACATGAAACTTTTTTAGTAGCTATTTTAAGATGGAATCTATTTATTGAAAGTGGGCATTTCAGGGCTGGGGAGGCTGTTGTCTAAGACTGAATAAAGGAGGTAAAGAGCTTGTCTTGCATATGGCTGACCCCAATTCAGTCCCTGAAACCCCACAGTCCCAGCACTGCGAGGGTCACGCCTGAGGAGAGTCAGGAGTAGCCCCTAAACATTACAGGTGTGTCCTAACTCTTTTCGCCAATAAAGCAGACATTTCAAATCAATGAATAAATCTATAAAGACATTAGAAACTGCATAAAAATGCACTATAGCACTGTCCTCCCGTTGTTCATCGATTTGCTCGAGCGGGCCCAGTAACATTTTCATTGTGAGACTTGTTACTGTGTTTGGCATATCGAATATGCCACGGGTAGCTTGCCAGGCTTTGCCATGCAGGCGAGATACTCTCAGTAGCTTGCCAGGCTCTCCGAGAGGGGTGGAGTAATCAAACTCGGGTCAGCCGGGTCGGCAAGGCAAATGCCCTACCCGCTGTCTATCGCTCCAGTCCAAATGCATAATAAACATTAAAATATATTAATTCAATGATGAACAATCCTTACAATTAATTTTTAGTGTTATCAATGTCTCTGACAAAAAAAATAGAATACTATATATACATATGCTAAAGGTAATATCAGCAGTTTAATTAAAATATTGAGTCTGTAAGATGCCATACATGACTGGAACCCATGTTTTACATGGAAGCCCTGTGTTAACACCCTAGCATTGCATGATCACCCAAACACTATGCCAGGAGTACCGGTACCCCCCAAAAAACTAAAAAGCAGGAGGCATAGTCAAATTTAAATTTGCCAAGAAAGCAAAATTTCTGCTGTGCCTAATAAGCCCCACCCATAAGAAAAGCGGGCAGGGCACTTGCCTTGCACACAGCTAACCCAGATATGCTTCCTTTCACCCCATATTATCCCTGAGTCCTTCCAGGAGTGATCCCTGAGTGCAGTGCTCAGGGTATGCCCTGAGCATACAGGGTGGGAAGGAAGGAAGAAAGGAAAGAAGGAAGGACTTCTTTCTTTTCTAGAACATTCCCAGTTCTAGAAAATATCAAAGCATCAAAAAGAACAAAGCACACTAGACAGGGCCACTGAGAAAGATAAAGAGTAACTCCACAAAATGTCTTCTAGTGGTTTTATTTTTTCTGCCTTGCTTGCTCTCAAATTCTGTGTGAGCTTTAATTTAAAATTATATTATGGGGTTAAAGTGACAGTACAGTGGGTAGGGCATTTACCTTGCATGTGGCTGACCCAGGTTCGATTCCCCGCATCCCATATGGTTCCCTGAGCACCACCGGGAGTAATTCCTGAGTGCAAAGCCAGGAGTAACCCCTGTATATCGCTAGGTGTGACCCCCCCCAAAAAAAGGTAAAATAAAACGGTCACGGTCCTCCCGTTGTTCATCAAATTTTTCGAGCGGGCCCAGTAACGTCTCCATCGTGAGACTTGTTGTTACTGTGTTTGGCATATCGAATACGTCACGGGGAGCCTGCCAGGCTCTGCCGGGCGGGCAAGATACACTCGGTAGCTTGCCAGGCTCTCCGAGAGGGGCAGAGGAATCGAACTCGGGTCGGCCATGTTGGCCGCTTGTAAGGCGAACACCCTACCCGCTGTGCTATCACTCCAGCCCAAAATAATACACAACACTATATTATAACTAAGGGGCAGAGTGTGAAGGGGAAGTAGAAAGACGGATAACAAAAACAAAAGGTAAAGGGAAAAGTTACAGTGGTGATACTTTACATGCAAAAAATTAAAACTATGTACTCTGAACAGAAACTGCTATGTGACGGTCAAAAAACCTTCACTCGGGGGGGCCAGCGAGAGAGTACAGTGAGTACAATCTCAGTCAGGAGTGGTCCCAAAACAAAACCTCTCACTCAGCAATGGCTCTCTGAGCACTTCCAGGAGGGATCACTGAGCACAGAGCCAGAAACAGTCCCCAAAGAGGGTTAGGTGGAATCTAAGACAACCCCCAACAACAACAACAAACAGCAAAACCCAACCCCAAAACCAAAACAGGGATGGTACAGCCAAACACCGAGATCAAGAGCACTGGCTGATACTGTAGCACTGTAGCACTGTCCTCCCACTGTCCATCAATTTGCTTGAGTGGGCACCAGTAACGGAGAAACTGCCAGAAAACAATAGAAGGAGCAAAACTGTCTGAAAGAAATGAACGGCATACCAGGGGAACTATGGAATGAGTTCAAGAGGAACAATGTAAGAATCATCAGAGTCCCTGAAGAACAGGAAGAAAAATTTGATGAAAAAAAAAAAACAACAGTTACAGAAATCATAGGTAAGATACAGGCAGCGAGATCCAAGAGGCCCGAAGGGTCCCAGTGAAAACTGACTCAACTAGGAAATCCTCAAAACATACTGCACTCAAATTGAGAAAATCTAACGAGAGAGAATATTGAAAACAGCAAGATCAAAAACGTACTTGTATACAAAGGAAAGTCCTTTAGGACTCACGCAGATCTATCCAAGTACAAAACCTTAATGAAACAAACATGTCACCAAGAATACTCTCTGCAGCTAGATTATCATTCTGATTTGAAGGAACGATACAGTTTCAGGGACAGGCAATAGCTGTGGGAATTCAGTCTTGAAACCAGTTTTACAAGAAGCATAAAAGGATCTTCTTTAAAAGACAGGAAAACTTCCCAGAATGAGCACTGAGTACGGCCCTTACTCATGGTGCTTATGGTTGCCTCTACTAGATTAAGAAAAGTATGTTTACTCCTAGCTTGCAAAGGATTTCATATATTTTAAATAATGAATCAATGCCTCAATTACATTAAATGTTCTGCTTTACCAGTAATTTTTAGTTTTTATTTCAAACTCTTACATCTGCATTAGCAGACACTTAAGCAGTACCTATATTTTCTAATGTAAAGACAATAATAATATTCCCTTTCTTAGGATAAAGCACTGTACTTTCACAGGCCTATGCAGACATTCCCCTTTAAATTTTCTCTTTTTTGGAGGGAAGGACCAAACCGGGTGATACTCAGGGATTCCTCCTGGCTCTGCACTCAGGCATCACTCCTGATGGTGGTGCTCAGGGGACCCTTTGGGATGCTGGGAATTGAACCTGGGTAGGGTGCATTCAAGTCAAGTGCCTTCCCTGCTGTACCCTCTCTCTGCCCCTTCCTCTTTTTCTTAATCCTCTCACTAAATTTTACTCTTGTAGGCTTTATGAGTTTCATGTAAACTACAGAATATTCGCTAATGACAGGGAAGACAAGAGTGTTACCATAATGGAACCCAAGTACAAAGTAAAATTTAATGCGATACATTTAGATGTCAGAATTGAACACTTATTTATGTAAATGACAATAGGCATTATATTAAATTATCTTAATTTCTTTATTTACCTAGGTTAAAATCATATAGTAATCAATCATCACAAACTAACTTACTGATTTATTCTCTAATAATTCCATTTGTCATTCAAGTTTTGAAGTAAATGTGCCTGTTAAGGGGATAAGCTAGCGGACTGGACGGAAACTGGGGACAGTGGTAGAGGGAAAGTCACACTGGTGGTGGATTAGTGCTGCAACACTAATGCCTAAAACAACTATATTGTGAATAACTTTGTAACTTACAGTGTTTTCATAAAATTAAATTTTAAAGTCATCATCCACAAATCATACTATCTGAAAAAACAAACATGTACCCAAAGAATATCTAAACAACTTTAACAATTCAATAATAAACACAATTTGGAGCTGGAGCAATAGTACAGCAGGTAGGACGTTTGCCTTGCACATGGCCAACCTGCGTTAGATCCTCGCATCCCATGCGGTCTCCTGAGCACTGCCAGGCTGCCAGGTGTGATTCTTGAGTGCAGAGCCATGAGTAACCTCTGAGCATTGCTGGGTGTGACCCAAAGAGAAAAATAAATAAATAAATAAAATGAAGACAGTCTTTATTTTTGTCTTTTGGGACACACTCGATCATACTTAGAGATCACTGTTGGGGGACGTCACGGCTTGGGGAACCATAACTGGTGCCAGCGATCAAACCTGGGTCAGCTGTGTGCCAAGCAGGCACCCTCCCCACTCTCTATTCTGCACGAAAACACAATTTTTTCAATGAGCAAGATTTGAAAAGTATTTGTAAACATTTATAAAGATACACACATGTGGGGCTGGAGAGATAGCACAGTGGGTAGGGCGTCTGCCTTGCTCGCGGTCAACCCGGGTTCGATTCCCAGTATCCCTTATGGTCCCTTGAGCACCGCCAGGAGTAACTCCTGAGTGCAGAGCCAGGAGTAACCCCTGGGCATCGCTGGGTGTGACCCAAAAAGCAAAAAAAAAAAAAAAAAAAAAAAGCTACACACATATGTATAAAACTAAGCAAATGAAAAAAAGCTCAACACCACCAGCAATTAAAGAAATGTTAATTAAAACCACTTCACACTCCACTACAATGGCTATAATCAAGCCAGACACTGCCAAAGGCTGACAAGAAAGTAGAAAGGTACTGAAGAAATAGTACAGAGATTAAGGTCCTTTCCCTGCCAACCCAGCTTGGATTCTTGGAACTATATGTGGTTCCCTGAGCCATATATGGTTCCCTAGCAGTGATTCCCGAGCACAGTGTCAGAAATAAGCCCTGAGCACCCTGGTGTGGGTTCTCCCCACAACCCTCGCTACCAAAAGTAGAGAGTGTGAACCTCATACATTGTTGTGGTCATGGTAAATGATACAACCACGTTCAAAAATAGAACTTATCATATAATTCAGAAATTACACTCCTACAAATCTATC